TTTTTCCAGTGCCTCCTGGGGCAAGGAACATTGATACTGGTTGTCATATCATCCACTCTCTAGATTGCATTTGCATTTGAAAATCTATCAACATAAAGTTTTAAGTTGCATTGAAATCCTGGTTTATTCAATGATATTTGGATAAGGTAAATGCAAAGGTTTCCCCTTGACATTAAGTCTTGGGTGGTGGTGGTGCCAATCTCCATTTCCAAGCCAAAGAGCCAGCGTTGTCCATAGATACCTCCTAGGTCATGTGACCAGCATGATTCCATGGAGCGCCGTTACCTTCCCGGTGAAGCAGTACCTATTGATCTACTGATATTTACATGTTTTCGAACTGCTAAGTTGGCAGAAGCTGTGGCTAACAATGGGAGCTCACCCCATACTGTGGCTATGAACCACCAACCTTCTGGTCAGCAAGTTCTGCAGCTTAGCAGTTTAACCCGCTGCGCCACTGAGGCCCTGATAATTGTATGATATTTGGATATCACACACCAATTAACTCCTGCTTGCTTTATATTTGGTGGTCAGTGCAGTAGCTTCAGCATTGCTAATACTTAAACACTGCTATTAATAATTTAAACTTGCCAATCAGAATGGTTCTTGATGTGTGTGTGTATGTGTGTGTCTATTTCATTAATCCAGAGATTGGGAACCAGTGGTCTTCCAACTGTTGGTGCTCAACTGTTCTGTGGAAGTGATGAGAAAGTGTACAGTTGTTCACGATCCTTCACCCATAGATGCATTGCTTTAAACCTTTATGCCATATCTCCTCCGAATCCACAATTTACGTTTCCTTCAAAGGTCTGTGTAACCCCTGAGATTTGACTCTTTTCAGCAGCAAGATATTTTTCAATAGATTTAGCACTGAAAGAAGTTATGTACCACCACTGGCACAGAAGGGATTTCCGTGGCCCAGCAATTAATGGGGTTGATTATGGCACAGCTCACTTACTGTTGAGGAAGTCTGCTTTTCCTCAGTTTTAGAAAGAAGGAAAAGGGCATCTAGATAAGAAGCACCTCGATGTCAGTACTGTTTTGCAATGTTTCTGTGCTGGTATTTTGTCTCTGGGCGTGGCGGAACAGATTGGGAAGGAGACAAAAGCAGAAGCTCCCTAGTCTGTGCACTTGCACAATACATGGAGCACCATCTGACTCCTCCACATTTCTGTCCAACCAGACACCATCTGCTTCAGTCCTTCCAGAGTGTTATCTTCTGTCTTCCTCATATGCTTTAGTGGCAGACATTATGTAGCCTACAGATGTTTTGGATCCCAGTTCCCTTCTCACCAGTCTTTGGCAGTGTAGCCAATGAAGAGGAATGCTGGGATTTGCACTTCAACAAAATCTGGAGTGTTAAACAGTTTCCATGCCTAATATACTTGTCATTGTTATTGTGGCAAAAACAATCTGTAACCGTTGGCATAATGAGACAGAGTGTCCAAAATATCTGGAGAGTAAAAATTTGGAGATGGCTTCTCTACAGATTATGTCTTCTGATAGTTTTGCTTTTTTGCTAAGTTCTTTCTAGCCATTCAAATGAAACACACCCTGTGCAGAGAGCTGTGTATTTATCAGTGTTTCTACTAAGGCGATGTGGAAAAGCAGGACAATGTAACATTAACTGTTGGGTTTCCTGCTAACTAGGATTTTCACCACTATTTTTTAAAAGGGAGCAACTTTCTAGACTTTCTAGTTGCAGTGTACTACATAGTGCAAGTATTGCCATGGAAAACCTTAGATTCCAAAAAAAGTTACTGAATAAGGTGATCTGTAACTATGTGGGTCTTTCAATGAGTTTCTTTGACCTTCCCTTTGACAAGCAGAGGCTGAACAAATTAACATAAAGCCAGAAACATTTTTGAAGACATTATGCAAAATAGGAGATATTGTGCATATCTGCATAATTTATACAGATCACAGAAATCAGCTTGGTTGCCTTGCCAAATTTTAATATTATTTTGTTGAAGTATATATACAAAGCCACAGGCGACGATGTAGACTCTTCAGGTTGTAGCCACCAATCCCCTATTTAGCAGGGGAACCCTTTCCTGAATGGGATATTCTTCTCATTCCCCATCCCAGCCTGCCCAAAGAAAGGGCCGGTCAACAGACTCGCAGGCTTGAAGCGCTTCCCTGCCTGAGCCATTGCCATGGCTTTCCCTGCCAGCTTTGTTGCCAATAAAGCTGCTTATCCAACCCAAAGCTTGGAGGGAATTATTACTAGCAGCTTTGATCACATCCCCTTGTCATTCAGTTATGGAGAAAAGAAGCACAGCAGAAGCTAAAAAAGAGACAAGCCTGACAGCAGCTGGAGACAGGCACCTGAGACAATCTAACAAGCAGGAAGAAAATAACCATCAATGAATTAAATTCCCTTGAATACCCAGGTATCTCGCTGTAACTAAGAATGTCTTTTCTACAGAAAAATACACAAAACAAAGGCTGCAAGTCTTAATTACTTGGTGCCATCAGTCAACACAGGAATTCATGCCCTTCATGGACACCATGGATCTACCCCAAGTGATATCTGACTTTATTCCCATTTCAAGATCTGGTCTTCTGTGTTGGATGAGACAGTGGTGGTCTTAGTATGGAGGGACCTGCAGTAAAGCTCTTGCTGTGGACAGGCCACAACCTGTACCTCTGAAGATGCTGGGTGAACCCCACTGACATTAACAGGAAAGGTACAAGAGCACAATGAGATGCTAGGGGAAGCACTGGTCGGAGTGGCTCAACCTCAGCAGCAGGGGATGTGTTTTGTATGCAAAAGGTCCAGTTCAATCTTTGTCACCTCTAATTTAAAAAACCAACACCACAGCAGGTGATGAGGAACTCCCTTCTCTGTCCAGGATCCAGCATCTTTTGAAGAAAGCCATGTAAATACATATTATCACTGAAAAGGGACATTCCTGTAAGACTATTTAGCCTAGAGCAGTGATTCTCAACCTGTGGGTACCCAGATGTTTTAACCTTCAACTCTCAGAAATCCTAACAGCTGGTAAACTGGCTGGGATTTCTGGGAGTTGTAGGCCAAAACACCTGAAGACCCACAGGTTGAGAATCACTGGTCTAGAGCCTAATATTACCTCGCTACACTACCAATTTCCTGAATCTCTATACAGTAGAGTCTCGCTTATCCAACCTTCGCTCACCCAACGTTCTGTATTAACCAGTGCAGTCTGCCTCCCGTCCGGATCCAGTGCTGTTTCAATACAGTGCGATGTTTTGATGCTGAATTCATAAATACATAATGTTACCGTGTATTGAACTGCTTTTCCTGTTGATTTGTTGTAAAACATGATATTTTGGTGCTTAATTTGTAAAATCATAACGTAATTTGATTTATAATTGGCTGTTCTTTAATCCAACATTTTTGCTTATCCAACTTTCTGCCAGCCCATTTATGTTGGATAAGCGAGACTCTACTGTACTTGGATCCAACTGTCAGTATTATATATGTTCCTACAATGATGTGCAGGGGCACAGCAGATATTGTCAAGAATAGTTCTTGATTCTGCCCAAATGAATGCACACCAGGGCATTTTGAAGCCATGGCACAACGGAGTGGGTCAATGATGTAATTTTCATAGTTTAGCTCCTTTCATTGTATGTAAAATAGACGCAAATGACAAAACTATGCTTTCTGTGAGTATAACAAAACCTTCAGTAGGAGCAACCTGACCCACATGTGCCTTAAATGCAATAATTTTCAAGCATTAAATTTGACAGACCAGTTCTGAGTCAAAGCTACTAAAAATACACATCAACCAAGCATACTTTGATGAACGTTCAATTAAAGAGATTACTCTCCATGGGAAAGTGATGGGCGGCACACATTTGGTTCTAATCTTCCCAGCTGCTGGAAGCAAAAAACACAATTTTACTGGTAATGGGCTAAATCCAATTGTTAGTTCAAATTAAGTAGACCCATTGACTCAATGGGGCTTACATTAGTGTTAATTTGACAAATCTCATCCATTCAACAGCTCTAATTTAGCTGGAACTAAACTAAATTAGATGTAACCTTGGATTTTATTCAAAACTATAAACAGCACAGCAATCCTTACAAAACTCTTCTGGTCTGCTGATACTCACGTGGGCAGTTTGATAATGGCAATGTGGGTTTTCTGTAGAGGACAGTGAATTAATTTCTCATGATTGTGCATTTGTAAACATAGCATCCTTTCGAAAATGTTAGATTGCAGAGCAAGAAAGGAGAGTGTGACTCTCTTGATTCTGTCCAGCATAGGGCTAGCTCATTTTATGTTGATCATTTTATGATTGGAATGAAATAAATATTTGCCTAGTACTGCCTACCATTCTTCAAATCCATTTCTCATTCATTTCCAGGCAAAATGGACCAACAATATCAACCCCCCCACAAGCTGGGGTGTACTAATGCAGTAGAAAAAAATAAATAAACCATATGGATCTCTAAAATTCAGGAGGTGTGAGGGAGGCTGATCTGCAAAGTGCCCTCCCAGATCCTCAAAGCTCCCAACTCCCACATTTAAAGAATAGAGAAAACTTTGTTGTTTATTCGTTCAGTCACTTCCGACTCTTTGTGACCTCATGGACCAGCCCACGCCCGAGCTCCCTGTCGGCCGTCACCACCCCCAGCTCCTTCAGAGTCAAGCCTGTCCCTTCAAGGATACCATCCTTGAAAACCGTTCAATTTTTAAAAGAAATAGAGCGAATTTCTCCCTAAAAAGTCAGGCAAACTCATGAAACACACTCAACCCTGAAGAACCCGCCACTACTCTTAACATATTTTCATTAGAATTCCTCTCAAAATGGCAGTCAAAAGTGGACAGAGCAAAAACATGCAGAAATCCAAGTTTGTTCAACAGTACAAAAAATTGTTGATTGATTTGCTATAGTTGTCATTTTGGTCTCATAAGGCAGCACACCAAATGTGATATCAAGTATCTGGATTGATACAGCATAATAGAGAGACAAACATTTTAAATGAAAGTACAGACAGAAAAGAGACCTACCCGTCCACCTGGACTTCGACATCTTTTGTTTCCATCTTGTGCTGCAGATCTCCATTGACTTCCTCATTGTTGCTCTTCAGAAGGTCCAGGACTGGCTTGATCTCTTTGAGCAATTCACTGTTTTCGACACTGCCATTAACACAGAGATTAGAAACCTCCCCGGTTTCTTTCAGAGCGTCTCCGGGAACAGCGTTGGCAACCACCCCGTTGACGTGCACTGAAGTCTCATCTCCTGGTCCATTCTCTCGGGTGCACCGAGTACTGACGGAGCCACCCATTGTGTGGTCAGGACTTTCCTGTTTGCCTTTGACTTGGAGGCTTGGGTCTGATGGTAGGCTGACCACAGTTGGAGTCACACACAGGGGCCTGGTCACACGGACAGTTTTGGGTGTCCCGTCACCGGTGAAGGTTGTCTCCAGGTGGGTGGTGAAACCCTCGGGGCCCCTTAAGATAAGGACAACGTATGTCTCCGAAGCAATGCTCCTCAGGACCTCCAGAGCAGTGTCATAGTTCATATCCACTAGGGGCCTCCCATTGACGGCTAGGATAATGTCTCCAGTTTGAATTAGACCACTTTGTTCGGCTGCTCCTCCTCGGATTAAATCAGAGATGATCACTGGTGGCTTGTTAATGCGTTCCTTCACCAGGAACCCAAGGCCCCCAACCTTCCGCTTGAAAAGTTTTACTGAGATGACATTGGGCTGAATCTGTTGTACACTGAACACATTCTCTTCCATTGTAGTCCTTAAATCTTCCAGCTTTGTGACCAAGTGTGAACAATACACCGATGGTCTCTCGGTTGGTTTCCAGCTGAGACACCAGTCTCTAGAAATAAAGATGGGAACAGCGAGAGAGAGAGAGAGAGAGAGGAGGCTGCTGCTTTATTTCTGTTGAGGAATACTACACTGGGTGATGATCACTTCTTCACACTTTGAACCACTAAGTTTGTTCCTGGAGGTCATGAGTTGTTCACTTCACCTGTACTGAGCTCTTTTGTCATTCTATGGCCTCAGTTCTGGAATGCAACAGAGCAAGTGATCCTGTGTGGAATGGCAGGTGAACAGAAGGAGACATCTCCCGCTAAATAAATAGTCAGGAAAGATTGTCCTTGCTCAACTCTAGAGGCTTTTGGTGTTCACTTCACATCAGTTTTACCTATAAGGTAGAATAGAGAGGGGAGAAAAAACATAAAGAGACCAGGTTGGATGGAACAAAGTATCATCTCTGACAGATATCTGTGAGAGTTGTAGGTTGCCAGAAAGACACACAAATACACTGAGATTTTTTTGTGGCATTTCTTGGCTGATGTTGATTTTGCTCGGATAATTTATTATCACTTTAAATTATTCTATATATGATTTTAGAAACTAAATGAATATTTAATGTCCAGTGAAGTAAAGATCATGTGGTCTGGAAGACTGCAACTAAGGCATACATCACATTGGCCAGATCTGTTCTCACCAGAAATAATGACTGTTGGGTACCCTCAACCTCACATGTGTAAAGGCCAGTCTAGCTAGTCACCATGCTTATTTGGAAGCTACCTAAAGTAATTGTCATATCACACTCCAAACCTTATCACAGACTTTGTTTTGGTCCCATTAGATAACTCCCAAGTTTTGATTACTCTGATCAAGTATATGGATTCTTTTAGCACGGCAGACAGGCAAACACTTTATAGCAGTGGTTCCCAACCTGTGGTCCGCAGCCTCACCATTACTACATTGTTGCAACGAGAGTGACTGGTCTCTCAACACCCTCTTATAGTGCCAAGGCTTATTAAATATGGTTTTGTGTGGGTGAGCAGATAGCGACTACTGGATGGCATATGTTCTGTATCAGAAACAAGAGCTGATGTGGTCTTTCCAATGCAATTTTCTAAATCAGCACCCCAAATGACCAAACCAAATCTAAAGTTGAACAAAAACTGATTCGTAACCCTTCTGGTACTAATGTTGGAGAGTGGTCCCTGGTCAAAAAAAGGTTAGGAATTGATGGTTTATAGCAAATGTTTGGTGTGTGGGAGCACGTGCACACGCTTTTCACACCTGGAAGTGGACAATACTGCTAAAAGAGACTTTCTCTGTACATGCAACAGTGCTAAAAGAGACTTTCTCTGTACACGGGGCCCCTAGGCCCACAGGCTGGATGCAATCCTCCAAGCTCATCCCACTTCACACTTCCCATTGAAATACTGGTACATTTATGTTGGTTAAACTTGTTCTTCATTTTAAACTAGCTTGGGGATCTGGCGCGGGTTATTTGAGAAAGGCATTGTTCATTTTTTGAAGTTTGGTAATGTTTAATGATATTTATTAGAAAAAAAAGCCAGTTGTTCCTTTTGTTTTTTATGAATGATCCCAATAGAAAACGCATAAGGATGTGGGTGAACTACAATTCCCAGAAATGTGAGTCAAGCCTTCCCAAACCCTGCAATTATTCAAAGTTGGCCATGTTGGGTCTGTGTGCCAAGTGTGATCCAGATCCGATATTCGTTGGGTTCAGTGATATCTAGATATGAACTACATATCTAGATATGAATCTGGGTGAACTACAACTCCCAGATTCCCAGGACAATCACCCACAAACCCAGCCAGTAATTACAGTTGCCCATGTTGGTTCTGTATGCAAAGTTTGGTCCAAATCCGTCGTCAGCTGGGTTCTGTGCTCTCTGGAAAAGGGTGAACTACAACTTCCAAATTCCCAGGGCAATCATGGCCAAACCTTGCTAGTATGCACAGTTGGCCATGTTGGGTCTGTGTGCCAGATTCGTCATTGGCTGGGTTCACAGTACTTTCTGGATGTAGGTGAACTACAACTCCTATAAATCAAGGTAAATTCCCCCAAACGTAGTCATGGGGGTTCTGTGTGCCAAATGTGGACGAAGTCAATTATTGAAGGAGATCAGAGTGCTCTGCCTTGATGCAGGGTGGACTACAACTTCCATCCTGTTGAGTCAGTCCCCCAAACCCCTCCAGTCTGTTCAGTTGCTGATCAATTCCTCTGTGTTTGCTGCGTGCCATAGGAAAGGGTACGAAAGGGTTAAGGGAGAGGCAGTGGGCAGGCTCATGCAAATTCCACACAAGGAACCCTGGGATGCCTGCCTGTGGTGGAGGAAACACATCAAATCTAGGATGAAATTCTCCCTGAATGAAAGCATTCCTTGGGTGGTTAGTGTTTGGGGAGGACATTGGCAGGGTTTGGGTTACATATTCATGGCACTTGCTATAACCTGCAATGTCAGTTGGGGGAGAGCTCGAGAGCAGTGACTCAAGAGCAGTATGTGTGAAAACAATCTTGGAGCCCTCGTGGACAAGTTAAACTTGAGCCAACAATATGATGCGGCAGCAAAAAAAGCCAATGGGATTTTGGCCTCCACCAATAGGAGTATAGTATCTAGATCCAGGGAAGTCATGCTACCCCTCTATTCCGCCTTGGTTAGACCACACCTGGAATACTGTGTCCAATTCTGGGCACCACAATTGAAGGGAGATGTTGACAAGCTGGAATGTGTCCAGAGGAGGGCAACTAAAATTATCAAGGGTCTGGAGAACAAGCCCTGTGAGGAGCGGCTGAAAGAACTGGGTATGTTTATCCTGAAGAAGAGAAGGCTGAGAGGAGACATGATGGCCATGTATAAATATGTGAGATGAAGTCATAGGGAGGAGGGAGCAAGCTTGTTTTCTGCTGCCCTGGAGATTAGGGCACGGAACAATGGCTTCAAACTACAAGAAAGGAGATTCCATCTGAACATTAGGAAGAACTTTCTGACTGTGAGAGCTGTTCAGCAGAGGAACTCTCTGCCTCGGAGTGTGGTGGAGGCTCCTTCTTTGAGGCTTTAAAACAGAGGCTGGATGGCCATCTGTCGGGGGTGCTTTGAATGCGATTTTCCTGCTTTTTTGTAGGGGGTTGGACTGGATGGCCCACGAGGTCTCTTGAAACTCTATGATTCTATGAGTGCCTTTGGAGGCTTCTCAGCGCTTGGAACTATGGCCTGTTTGTGGAGGTGGGAGGCTGTCTGTGTACGTGGACAACTTTGCCACATCTACACATTTTCACTTTTATTATGTGTATAGATATTGTATTGCTCTTTCATGTTTTTTTTTGCACTACAAATAAGATATGTGCAGTGTGCATACGAATTCGTTCATGTTTTTTCAAACTATAGTCTGACCCCCAACAGTCTGTGGCCTTTGCTTTAAAAGTTTGAGGACACCTGGCCTAGAGCTGAAAAAGTAGGCAATGAGTATGCATCCCATCTGAAATCCTGTGGCTGCCTCATGCAGAATTCTGGGGCTTGGAGTTTAAGGCACACAGTGGTGGGGGGTTAACATTCTCAGTCAGAGTGGTGCTGTGGCTCACTAAACTACAAGTGTAATTAGGCCTTTTCCAGTACACATTGATGTGTATACAATTACACACATGCTGTAAAACCAAAGAGAGAGATTGTTTTCTGAAAATCTACATAAAAGTTCTTTGCTGAAATGGAAATGTGTACACATTTGAAGTCAAAACAATCTGGAGCCTTTCAAGGAAACGGCAATTGGCAACATCCCTCCTATCAGTCCTATTTATTGGGGTGCACTTTGGCACATGAATCACTGTCAACAATGGTGGGCTTTGTGCACAGCTGACCCAGCTGTGCGTGGATTTCTAAACCTTTAAACACCTTCTTGCCCTTTTTACCACTTTCCCAGATGTCAAGTAGTTCTCTTCTCCTTTTAATGATCCACCCAAAATGTGACACAAAAAGAATGAACGGCGACATCTTTTGAGCTATCACTGACTTGGATTGCTTTGCAGGCTCAATATAAAGAGAGAAAAAAGAGGATTGGAGGATGGGGGAAGAAGTTGAAGGGGGCCAACGGGCAAAGCAAGGAAAGTTGTGAAACCATCCCTATCTGCACAATTGGATTTGTCACCATATTTTGGACAGTAAAGGGAAAAGCGCTCTTCACAGTTTCGAATTAGAGTTTTAAGAAGTGACAATGTGATCGAACTCACAATCCCTGATAGCTGAGAAAGGAGGTTTAGTTTAATGGTCATCTGTGCAATAACCATGAAGGGATTGGACAGGTAGAAAGAAAAATTACTCTCACCCTCAATTCCTCATCTCCAAACAAGGCTCTGTGACTTAGTTCACATTGGAAAAAGAGAAACCATAAATCACTTTGTGCATACAAACATACATACATCTAATTGTGTATATGGAGCAGTCTAGACATTTGAACTATTGTACAAATGTTAAGTAACAGCAGCAGAAGCAGCAATAATAATAACTGTATTGTCGAAGGCTTTCACGGCCAGAATTACTGGGTGGTTGTGTGTTTTCTGGGCTGTCTGGCCATGTTCCAGAGCATTCTCTCCTGATGTTTTGCCTGCATCTGTGGCAGGCATCCTCAGAGGTTGAGAGGTCTATTGGAAACTAGACAAGTTGGGTTTATATATCTGTGGAATGTCCAGGATATATAAACCTGATATATAACCCTCATTTGTCTAGTTTCCAATAGACTTCACAACCTCAGAGTATGCCTGCCATAGATGTGGGCGAAATGTCAGGAGAGAATGCTTCTGGAACACTGCCAGACAGCCTGGAAAACTCACAGCAACCCAGTGATTTCGACCATGAAAGCCTTCAACAACACATTAAAATGATTTGGTCTTCTTCAGTTGATATAACACTGGCCAACACACATTTTGGCATCTCCAGTGTTAGCCTTGTTTCTGAGTATATTTGATTTGCCGATTCCAAAAATGGTACCTGTTTTCCCCCATTAGCTCTAATTTTTGAGATGCAGAACATATGCCATATCGTGGAATCATAGAGTTGGAAGAGACCTCATGGACCATCCAGTCCAACCCCATTCTGCCAAGAAGCAGGAAAATTGCATTCTAAGCACCCCTGACAGATGGCCATCCAGCCTCTGTTTAAAAGCCTCCAAAGAAGGAGCCTCCACCACACTCCAGGGGAAAGAGTTCCACTGCTGAACAGCTCTCACAGTCAGAAAGCTCTTCCTAATGTTCAGGTGGAATCTCCTTTCTTGTAGTTTGAAGTGAAAACACACAACAACCCAATAATAATAACTAATTACACCTGTTTGCAGTCTCACTATCTGTTAAATGGAGTTGTGCTAATGCTAATATACTGATATGCG